TATGCAATTGGATAATGTTAATGGATACTACATTAGAGTATTTTAATAATTTATCTATAATTTTTTGCCTAATTGTTTCAATTATTGCGACATTAAATAAAATCTATTTTATTTGTTTTTTATTAAATATTTAAATATCTTTTTTTGCTTTAAAAAGATTTATAGATATTATATAATCAATATTATTTTTTTACATTAAAATATTTTTCTATTATTCACGTGTTAAAATTCAACCTAATAATATAATTATACTGTTAATTAAAAATTATATTTCAATGATTCAATTCGAAATCATTCGATTCGCTTCGATTCGAATAAAGTTTTGTCGGTTCGATTCGATTTGAATTCGAAAGAGGAAATAAAATTCGATTCCATTCGACTCGACATAAAAAATCCTTGATTCGCACATCTCTAGCCTGCATGGAATTTAGTGCGCACTCCTCTTATTGAAGTAGGGGAGACCGGGGCTCGTTGGCACCATTTTCACAATTTCGGCATTTGAGTTTTTATTGAGTTTTATACAACTATAATTAATGATTAAACAGTAATAATATGATAGAGAGAACCTTTCTTTACATTTTCGTGTCACGAACGCTGCTGTATACTGTATAGTTTCTTTGTAATAAGTGAAATACGAACATGCTGCATTATAGCCAACTTGCCCCCATAATAAGGGTAAGTTGGCTATGCAACAAAAGTCCATGTTAAATTAATGAAAACGTAATAGAAACACAAAACGGGTAACAGATACGTACTTTTTGATAAAGATTGTATCGTTTAAAGGGGGCTTCTGGTTTAGGAGGCTAAAAAAAAGGAGATTTTTATGCATTTTTTTTGTTGACAATAATGCAGTTAAGGTTTCTCTAAACCTTTTACAATATTTAACTGCTTATTTGAAGAGATAAAAAAATTTTTATATTGTAAAATAATTGCAAAATGGCGCCGTGGTGTATCTCTAATCAGAGCGCCTCGCTAACAATCTGCGGGAAAGATAGAGGAAAAACTAATTGATCAATCGACTTGATTCAAAGTGCGTTAGCTAAAGAATGAACAACCATTCTATGTGAACCTCAAACATTGGTAAAAATATTAATTTAAATAATTGTTATTGCATAAAAACGGAGAATATTTTTTCTCAAAAATGTCATGTGTTCAAGTGCTAAAAAATTTTGTATTTTACAGTTTTTTAACCATGTTCCTGGTTCACATAGAATAAAAGTATATAAAAATTAATAATCTTTTTCGTTTTTTTGTCTCAGATCAAAATTGCGGGCTACATTTTTCCCGCAGATTGGCAACTCGGTTGGCGAGGCGCTCCGATTAAAGATACACCACGGCGCCATTTTGCAATTATTTTACAATACAAAAATTTTTTTTACTTCCTCAAATAAGCAGTTAAATATTGTAAAAGGTTTAGAAACTTCAACTGCATTATTGTATAACAAAAATTCATAAAGATCTCCTTTTTTTTAGCCTCTTAAACCAGAAGCCCTCCTTAAAGTTATTTTGTAATGATCAAATAGCAAAATGCTGTTGCAGAAAAACAATTGTAAACTATTTTCTTCAACATAAAAATATTAATATAAATATAGGGTAGACCGGGGCACGTTGTCACACATTTAGTTCAATATTTTTTGTATTTTTTACATTCAATATTTAAGAGTACTTTGATATGCCAAAATTTCGAGTGAACCCTCAGCTTCAATTAGACAGTATCGAATTTTGTGTGATTGTTATTCTACAGTTGTTACATAACAATAAATAACGACAGGTCGCTTGTGACAACGTGCCCCGTGGCCGGGGCACGTTGTCAAATCAAATGTAATTGCATGCAAAATGTTATCCAAACTGTATTCAACGTAAATATCAATATATTATAGTGCGCTGCAATGTAAAAAAGTAAAATCCTTCACAGAAACATTTATTTTATTTCAAAAAAGTACAAAAAGCACGAAGTTTTTGTTTTAATCTAAATACAAGAATTTCACTCGAATGCGCAACTTATTGATACACATTTTTTCTTTTATAATCATGTCGGTGATTAAACATAAAATATTTTTACTCGTTATCGTCATCCGAAGATTCGTAATATATTCCCATCAAATTCGTGACAACGTGCCCCGAGGGCATTTTTTTACTTTAAACAGCCTCATGGCCGACACGTTTGAGATATTCATAAGGTTAGGTATTGCACGCGGTAAGTAAAAGTACATACTTTAAGATAATATAAAGGTCTGTTCTGAAAAAAACATAAGCTTCATGTCCAGTACGTTGACTATTAGACAATAAAATTTTACTTACGGTCGCAAAAAACTTTCAAGTTGATTTTACGTCAACACGGCTGGAGCAATCTCAACACTGTAAACGCACCAAAAATGGGCATACACTAACACGTTTTGGGAATGACGGGTGCTGCCCTGTGGTTATTAGTTTTTTAAATAAAGCCGATGTGACAACGTGCCCCGGTCTACCCTATATTTAGTTTCTATCAGCATTGTAGGTAGCAAATTACATATGTTCAAACAGGTCTCACGCACGCGGCAACAATAAGTCAAGCTAAGCGTGTCTTGATATTAGCCAACATACCCCATCCCTGCATACGTTTTATTTCAGTCATTTTATTACAATAAATTACTGTTGTTATTCAAAATAACATGTCGGATAGTAACGGAAACTTTTCTTTTAACTAATGATACATCACTTTAATTTAGTTCTCAAGCTGAAGAACATTAATACGATATTTTGAAACGTTCGAAAATTTACTTGCCACCTCTTGAATTAGAGTTTTCTCTTTTTCTACACTGTTGGAAAATTTGTGTTAAATATAACATAAATCACATGTCCAAAACGGTCCACTCAAATTTTTGTGTTAATTTAACATAATATGGATGTGTTAAGTGGTAACACTGATATTATGTTAAAATATTTCAACAGAAAGGAAATGTAATTTTGATCGTAATTTGAAGTTAATTATGTGTACAATTAACATAACTTTTATGTTGAAGTTGAGATTGTAAGATAAAATCAACACTCTATTTCTGTAAATTTTTATTCCTACTTTTTTTATAGAGTAAAATCAACATTCTTTTTCTGTAAATTTTAACACATTTAATAAATACGTTCAAATTGTGTTACTTTTAACATATTTTTTAAGTTATTTTAATTATTTTACATTTTGAATTTGTAAAATTCAATTAACATAGCAGGCATATGTTAAATCTACACACGTATATGCGTTGATTATTTTACACAAAAATTTTAACAAGGACTTTTTTTAATACAGGACCTCTGTTTTCAACAGTGTATTGTAATACTTGTTTGATTAAAATAAAGCTTTGGGAAAAGTACCTACGTCATATAAGAGATATTTTGTGATAACTTTTCTATTGTTTTTTTCGCTATAAATACATAAACGGAACGCATTGCCAACTTGCCTCTTGTGCCAACGAGCCCCGCGCTCCCTTACGCGGTGTTCGTCTTCTGCAGCAATGTTTTTACATGTGCATTCGAGTCTATATCTTGCATTGTTTGGGGAATTTATAGTAATGCTCTTGCATCTTTATTAAATGTATCCGTGGCAATATATGCAGCTATAATTCCATTGTCATAACGCCACTGTGCATATTATAGTGCTCGAGTGTTGTCTGCTTTAAAGTATATTTTTCCACCACAAGTTGCACTTTTTGCACGAAATGCACTAAGAAATTATTGCGAATACTGTTATAAAATTTAAAATACGATATTGGATTGTACTTTCTTTCGGGACAAGAATATCGCCCATCAATTTTAATTTTTTAGCAGAGGCACTATAGCTGTTCTCTTTCTGTTCCATCTAATTTCGATTTTTAGGAGGTGTATATGCTTCTTGGATCTTGCTTTTTGAACATTTTCAAATATTCAAAGATATCTAGAATCTTCTCGGCTGTTTATTGCTGATTATTGCTGTTTACTATTCAACTCTAATCAGCGCTATTCAACACAATATTGTTTGCTTGTCCGAACAAGAACTGCTGTCAAACCGACCATTTGTGTTTTTAAGTACAGCTCTGATGATTAGTATTTCTTCACAATAAAGAAAAAACGAGAGAGACTTTTCTTTAGACCTGTGAAAATCGGCACAATCCTGGCCGCAGGCCATCTGTCTATATTTGCCAGATCGAGTTTAGCTTCACAAAAATATTTTTAAGACGTACTTTAAAAATATGTAAAAAGGAAAGTCAATTTTTTAACCCATCTAGGTATATAGATGTCTCCTCTTAATTAAATCGCTGGACATAGATAATCAGCACTGTGATATAGAGGCTGCGTTCGGGGAGCGCGCTATTAGCGCTATT